TTCTTATCATCCACTTTTTAAAGGCTGCTTCTGTTAATGGAACACACTCGTTCTCCATCAGGCCTTGTTCCGTTGCTGATGAGGAACTGTGATCCCCTGTAGAGGGAGAGGCGTTCTGAGTTTGGGTATTCGCAGCCTTTTTAGGCTGGTTTCTTCCCTTCTTTATAGATTTATCCATCTGTGGTCTTTATAATTACCGTCTTTAGAGTTGGGTTTCTGAATGGACGTCCAACTTGTTGATTCCCGGCGCTAAAATCTGAGCAGCCCACTGCGCGGGCCAAAACAGCGGCATTAAGATTGATGGTGCTTTTCTGACTCTGCACCAAGAACCGCCGCACCAAGGCAGCGGCAAAACTGCCTCGCCGGCCACAAGAGTCGCGCTGGCGACCCGTGGGGCTCCTCCGCTGGGAATCACCTGGTGCGTGAGCAGCAAAAATTGATCTGAAAGTGTGGCATCCTCTCGTTCTCTGTGCCTTCAATGGCAGCTACAATCCCGAGCTGCTAGTGATCAGCCATCTTGGATCTCCCGCCTTAATCCTTAAGAGAGACTGGCAGTGAACTAATGCAGGTATCAGCCCAGCATCCCATCTGCCATCTACCTGGTAATAACTGGACTTTGTCTCTGGGAGCAGCTCTTCCTACTGCACCACTATGTCCTCAATTTTTGTATTTTTAATAGAGACAGGATTTCACTACATTGGTCAGGCTGGTCTTGAACTCCTGACCTCAGGTGATCCACCCACCTTGGCCTCCCAAATTACTGGGATTATAGGCGTGAGCCACCATGCTTGGCCTCATTTAACAAATATCTATTTGGCCCCACTCTGCTGTGTACAGTGCTAAAGGCTGAGAATACAACAGCAAACAAAACCAACAAGGTCCAGTCCTCAAAACTTTCCAACTACCGATTGACACTGAGACAAAGACAGGCAAATAGAAGGCAGTATGATCACAAGCTCTTTTCCAGGCAAACACGGGGCACAGCACTGTGGACCGTGTAACCAGGACCCCACACAGTCAGAGGGTGTCAAGGAGAGGCTTCTAGAGAGTCAGTAACTCAGGAATTGAGATCCGAAGGCTGCTTAGGAGTGAGCCCCTTGAAATGAAGAGGGAAGTAGAAGCTAAACAGAGGAAAGTTTCCAAGGCGAGGAAGCCTGTGGCCCATGGGAGCAGCTGAGACAAGTTCTGTTACTAAGGGACACTAAATCTAGGAGGTGAGTGACAATGCTGGACAGTGATTGGGACTGGGTCCTGCAGGGCCTTGTCTGCCTTATTAAGAAGTTAAGCAGGGGGCCAGGCACGGGGCCATGCCTGTAATCCCAGCACTCTGGGAGGCTGAGGCAGGTGAATCACCTGAGGTCAGGAGTTCAAGACCAGCCTGGCCAACATGGTGAAACCCGGTCTCTACTACAAATACAAAAATTAGCCAGGTGTGGTGGTGGGCACCTATAATCCCAGCTACTCAGGACACTGAGGTGGGAGAATCGTTTGAACCTGGGAGGCAGAGGTTGCAGTGAGCTGAGATAGTGTCACTGCACTCCAGACTGGGCAACAGAGGCTATGGCTCAAAAAAAAAAAAAAGTTAACATGGGGCACTGGGAACCCACTGAAAGTTTTCAGGCAGAGCAGTGACATTGTCAATGTGCACTGTAAGAGAGTCTGGTTGCAGAATGAATAGAGTAGAGAAGAAGAATGCTGATACAGACACTAATTTGGAGATTGTTTTTGTAGTTCTCATGTGAGAGACAGCTTCATGACCCTAAGGTATTGGCAACTGGGAATGGAAAGAAGATGACATATTTTAGTAATATTTTAGAGGGAGAACTGATAGGATTCAAGGATAGATTAGAAGAGGGGGATGGGGCTGGGCACAGTGGTTCATGCCTGTAATCCTAGTACTTTGGGAGGCTGAGGCGGGTGGCTCACCTGAGGTCAGGAGCTTGAGACCAGCCTGGCCAACATGGTGAAACCCCATCTTTACTAAAAATACAAAAATAATTAGCCTGGCATGGTGTGTGTGCCTGTAGTCTCAGCTACTCAGGAGGCTGAGGAGAATCGGTTGCAGAGAGCTGAGATCATGAGATCATGCCACTGCACTCCAGCCTGGGTGACAGAGAGCAAGATGGCCATCTAAAAAAGAAGAAGAAGAAGGGGGTAAAATTAGAAATGACTCCTGAGATTCTGGCTTGGGTAACAGTGCATCATGGTACAACTCACTGAGATAGAGAACCAAGGAAGCAAAGATAGTTTTGGAGTGAGGATGAAGGTAAAGGCAGGATGACATGTTAAATTTAGGACATTCTGAGTTTGAACAGCTTGGTGGAATGCACTTGGCTACTGGGGTCCAACACAGACTTGGGCTGGAGCTCTGGTCATGAGTGATTAACACAGACATAGTGGTTACACTACAGAGGTATATGGGATTGCTCTAGTAAAGGGCATCTAGACAGAAGAGAAGACCAGGACAGAACCCTGGAAAATTACCACATTAAAAAGTGGAATTGATAAGTGTATTAGGTGAATGGGAAAAGAAAAAAAAAAGTGGAATTGAGCAAGATGAGTCTGCAAAGGAGAATGAGAAGCAAACAGGCAGGAGGGAAACCAAGAGAGTATAGTTATCATAGAAACTAAGAGAAGAAAAGGCCTCAAGAAGGATCAATAGTGCCGGAACTGCTGAGAGATCAAGTAAGTTAAGGACTGAGAAGTACTCAGAGAATTTGAGCAATGCAGGATTTCAGAAGACCATGGAGGGACAGCATAAGTAGAGGACAGCAGCAGGGCCTGATTAGAGCAGCTTAACAGTGAACAGGAAGAAAGTTGGAGCAGTGAGTAAGTAAACTCTTTCAATAAGTGTGGCATAGACTAGCAGAAATGGGAAGTAGACATGTAGTGGCAGCTATTTAATGGTTGTTTTCAAAAATGAGAGAAATTTAAACACCTTTCAGTGCTGATGGAAGGAGCCATTTACATTACAGGCAGAGAAGGTCAGTCTCTACAGAACCTCATCTCTCAGAAAGAAAGGAGAAGGGTTGCAAGTGCATATTTTGAGTGGTAGTCTTAAACCAGGGGAGGGATACTTCCCCAACTTTAATGGGAAAGAAAGATGGTTGTCAATACAGGGAAGTTTCTGCTTTGGTGGCTGGAGGCTGACAAATCTGATGGCTTCTCTTTTCTCTTTGAAGGTGGAGAAGAGGTTGTCAGAAGCAACAAGAGTTTGAGGAGGAGAGATATTAGATATCATAGTTCTATGATAATTATATGCATCTAGAGACAAAAAGATCACCAGATAATATAGGGACTCTGAATTTTACATATCACCATTCTGGTTTTCTTTGTTTTTTTTTTCCTAGAACTCAGCAACCAGGTGTACAAAGAAGCAGTTAGCTCTATGGTACCCCAAATCCAATTGAACTGGAATATATGATATTTCCCACTCTTAAAATTTCATTCTGGCCAGGTACAGTGGCTCACACCTGTAATCCCAGCACTTTGGGAGGCCGAGGCGGGCGAACCATGAGGTCAGGAGTTCGAGACCAGCCTGGCCAACATGGTGAAACCCATCTCTACTAAAAATACAAAAATTAGCCGGGCATGGTGGCGCATGCCTGTAGTCCCAGATCCTTGGGAGGCTGAGGCAGGAGAATCGCGTGAACCCAGGAGGCGGAGATTGCAGTGAGCCAAGATGGCACCACTGCACTCCAGCCTGGGTGACAGAGTAAGACTCTGTCTCAAAAAGAAAAAAAAATTATTCTAATCTTACTTCTTTTTTTTTTTCTGTTTGTTTGTTTCTGAGACAGAGCCTCACTCTGTCACCCAGGCTGGAGTGCAGTGGCACGATCTCAGCTCACTGCAACCTCTGCCTCCTGGGTTCAAGCGATTCCCCTGCCTCAGCCTCCCAAGTAGCTGGAACTACAGGTGCCTGCCACCATGCCCAGCTAACTTTTTGTATTTTAGTAGAGACGGGGTTTCACCATGTTGGCCAGGATGGTCTCGATCTCCTGACCTCGTGATCCTCTCCACTCGGCCTCCCAAAGTGCTGTGATTACAGTTGTGAGCCACCACGCCTGGCAATTTTACTTCTTTCAAAAGAAAGAAAACAGTTTCTGGTGCTATCAGAAATATTCCCATGCTCTTCAACATCTGTTGTGCTTTTGAGAAGCTATTCTGTATTCAAGGAGCTGTATCCTCACCCTGTGACCACCCCTTAAACTCTCTTTTAAACCCTCTCAGCCTCTTTCTTGTTTGCCCCTCTCTGTGACATTTATGTCCAGCCTGCCATTATTAATGTACCTGTTACCTCTCACATGTTCAAGGGAAAGAATCTAATGTTTAGAGCACCTACTATGTATCAGACACTTTCAGTTGTTTTTACTTCAGTGATACAATTTACATCCCCACAATATAGCAGGGAGATATTATCCCTACTCTTACAGACAAAGAAACTAAAGCTAGGAGAACCTAAGGTCATGTGGCTACTAAATGACCAAGCAAGGATTAGATCTCAGTCTGTCTGACTCCAAAACCCATTACTCTGCTGCAAGCTCCCAAGGAGCAAGCAATCTTCTGATTCATCATTATACACCTCATGGGAACTCAAACAGCACTTTGCACATAGAAAATGCTTGATAAATATTATTGATTTGAACTATGACTTGACCCCTTGAATATCTTCAGTGTTCTGGCAATTTAGTATGTGCCCAACTTTCTCTAAGAAGCTATACTCTTCAGCTTGGTTTTAAAAAAAAATGCTCTTTAGGTTCAGCAAGGGCATCATATGTGCTAACTTTACAATGTAGACGGGAAGATGGCAAAATGAAAGCACTTACTCTCTTCCTCTAAATGACTTTTTTAAATTTAATAATCCCATCAGGGAAGTTAACAGCTTGTAGTAATATGGCAACAATGAAACCACCAAACAGAATCTCCCATGCAATCATTGGAATAAATGAGCAGAAGCATGACCAAATTCTAACTGACGCTGTCCTCTTTTCACTTTTCAGGAGTATAACATGTATGGCTGGTGGGTGGGAGAACTGAACAGCCTCATTGGGATTGTTCCAAAGGAGTATCTCACCACCGCATTTGAAGTGGAAGAAAGATGAATCCCAGGTATCAGAACCATTGTCAGTGAACTGCCTGTTAGTTGAGTGGAACTTGTGGGCCACTACTTTGTTTCTCTGAAAGATGAGATTTGCCAGTAAAGTAGCTTTTCTTCATTTCCCAAACTAATGCTAATGATTCACAACTGATGGAAAGAAAATAAGTCTGGAATTGTTTTTTCTTAAATTTGGGGACAGTGTCACTTAAGATAAGGTTCAACTAATAGCAATATAAAATCCAAACTAAAAGTGACAATACAGAAGGCTGAGTGATGTAATCCCTGCACTTTGGGAGGCTGAGGTGGGCGGATCACTTGAGGTCACCAGCCTGGCCAACACGATGAAATCCCCTCTCTACTAAAAATACAAAAGTGAGCTGGGCATGGTGGTGGGCGTCTGTAATCCCAGCTATTCAGGAGGCTGAGGCAGGAGAATCACTTGAACCGAGGAGGCGGAGGTTGCAGTGAGCTGAGATTGTGCCACTGCATTCCATCTAAAAAAAAAAAAGTTAACACAGAAATGTATTTTTCTGCCAGGCGCGGTGGCTCACGCCTGTAATCCAAGCACTTTGGAGGCCAAGGCGGGCGGATCACCTGAGGTCAGGAGATCAAGACCAGCCTGACCAACATGGTGAAACCCTGTCTTAAAAAGAAGAAAAAAAAGAAATGTATTTTTCTCTTCTGTAAAAATATAGGGAAAGTGGTCCAAGGTATCCAGTCCTAGGTACCTTTTCTTTTTGTTCTTCTCTATGTGTCCAACATTCCCAAGGTTACCTCATGGCCAAGACAGATGCTCCAGCTCCAGCCATCTTGTCTGCCTCCTCCACAATACAGCAGGAAAGATAAAAGGAGAAGGTCAGGCCGGGCACAGGGGCTCACACCTGGAATCCCAGCACTTTGGGAGGCTAAGGCAGGAGGATCACTTGAGGTCAGGAGTTCAAGACCAGCCTGGCCAACATGGTGAAATCCTGTCTCTATTAAAAATACAAAAAATTAGCCAGGCATGGTGGCACGCCCCTGTAATCCCAGCTACTCAGGAGGCTGAGGTAGGAGGATCACTTGAACCTGGGAGGCAGAGGTTGCAGTGAGCCAAGATCATGCCACTGCACTCCAGCCTGGGCAACAAACAGAGTGAGACTCTGTCTCAAAAAAAAAAAGGAGGTCAGGCCCAGTGGCTCACACCTGTAATCCCATTACTTTGGGAGGCCAAGGCAGGCGGATCACAAGGTCAGGAGTTTGAGACCAGCCTGGCCAACATAGTGCAACCCCGTCTCTACTAAAAATACAAAAATTAGCTGGGTAAGGTGGCACATACCTGTAGTCCCAGCTACTGGGAGGCTAAGGCAGGAGAATCACTTGAACCTGGGAAGCAGAGGTTGCAGTGAGCTGAGACCACGCCATTGCACTCCAGCCGGGGTGACAGAGTAAGACTCCATCTCGAAAAAAAAGAAAAGCATACCCTCTCCCTTAAGGGCACTTCACAGATGTTGCACACAAACGTCCTCTCACATTCCATTGGCCAGAAGTTGGAATGCATGTATACAACAAGCTGTAAAGAAAGTGTATAGCCCCATGTCCAGCTTAGAATTGAGAGATTCATGATTAAATACAAATGGAAGAATGGATATTGGGAGAAACCTAGGAATTTTGCCACAGGGTTGGATCTGGGTTTATCCCCAGCTCTCAAGTCCAGGGCACCATTTCCCCAAAATGCCCACATATTGCAATATGACTGACCCAAGATTAAAACTCCAATATAAGGATTCCTATGGAAATTAATCAAATCAAATTAAGTAATAAAGAATATCGTTTGCAGGGCCAGGTGCAGTGCCTCACACCTGTAATCCCCTTTGGGAGGCCAAGGCAGAAGGATCACTTGAGATCAGGAGTTTTTTTTTGAGATGGAGTTCTGCTCTTGTTACCCAGGCTGGAGTGCAATGGCGCGGAGATCAGGAGTTTGAGACCAGCCTGGGCAACATAGTGAAAACCCATATCTACAAAAAAAAATTTTTTTTGATAATTTTTTTGAGACAGAGTCTTGCTCTGTTACCCAGGCTGGAGTGCAGTGGGGGTATCTCAGCTCACTGCAACCTCCGCCTCCTGGTTTCTTGCAATTCTCCTGCCTCAGCCTCCTGAGTAGCTGGGACTACAGGCACACGCCACGCCCAGCTAATTTTTTGTGTTTTAGTAGAGACAGAGTTTTACTGTCTCTCCTGAGCTCAAGCAGTCAGCTCACCTCGGCCTCTCAAAGTGCTGGGATTACAGGATTTTTGTATTTTTACTAGAGATGGTGTTTTATCATGTTGGTCAGACTGGTCTGAACTCCTGACTTCAGGTGATCTGCCCACTTCAGTCTCCCAGAGTGCTGGGATTACACGAGCCGCCACATCTGCCCCACCAAAAAATGTTTTTTAAATTAGCCAAGTGTGGTGGTGCTCGTCTGTAGGCCCAGCTACTTGGGAGGCTAAGGTGGAAGTACTGCTTGAGCCCAGGAGGTTGAGGCTGCAGTGAGCCATGACTGCGCCACTGCACTCCAGCCTGGGTCAACAAGACCCTGTCTCCAAAAAAGAAAAATAGGTTTGTGTTTTATTAGCAAGAACCACATTGTGTTTCAAAATAGTGGAAGTAGGTGCTTGGTTGGGTAGAGTAATAGTGGGAGCTGCTTTGGTGCAGAGTGGGTTTTGGTTAAAATTAAGATGCTGATGGAGGGCCCCTAAGACCAGCATGTTGTCGCTAGCACCATCTTCTACCCTGAAATGGGAGTAGTCTTCATTGCTCAGGGGAAAGAATGGCATCAATGTGATAGTGATACAAACAGTCCGTCCTTGGAGTCCAGACCAGAGCCCACTCTAGTGTGCAGCAGCAGCTGGGTGAATTCATTTAGGAAGATACATAAGGATAGATCTTATTCTCCAATGCCCTTGTACACCCATACAACACCTGCTCGGGCCTGTCACTCAAGGTTTGACTTTATGACTTTCCTGATGAAGACTCTGTTCCCTGGCCATAAGTGTAGATGGTTGGAATTTTTCTGTCAAATCTAAACAAATTCACCCAACCAGGCGTGGTGGCTCACGCCTATAATCCCAGCACTTTCAGAGGCCAAGGCAGGCAGATCACTTGAGGCCAGGAGTTCAACACCAGCCTGATCAACATGATGAAACCCCATCTCTACTAAAAATACAAAAATTAGCCAGACGTATTGGGGGGCACCTGTAATCCCAGCTACTTGGGAAGCCGAGGCAGGAGAATTGCTTGAACCCGGGAGGCGGAGGTTTCAGTGAGCCGAGATCGCACCATTGCACTCTAGCCTGGGCAACAGAGAGACTCCATCTCAAAAATAAATAAATAAATAGGCTGGGCGTGGTGGCTCATGCCTGTAATCCCAACACTTTGGGAGACTGAGGCAGGTGGATCACAAGGTCAGAGACCATCCTAGCTAACATGGTGAAACCCCATCTCTACTAAAAATGCAAAAAATTAGCCAGGCATGGTGGCACGCGCCTGTAGTCCCAGCTACTCAGGAGACTGAAGCAGGAGAATCGCTTGAACCTGGGAGGCTGAGGTTGCAGTGAGCCAAGATCACACCACTGCACTCCAGCCTGGGTGACAGAACGAGACTCAGTCTCAAAAAAATAAATAAATAAAACAAAATAAATAAAAATAACAAACAAATTTACCCTTTTTCACTTGGTCATTTATTTATTTATCTCTTTATTGTCCTTGGCCCAACCACTCTACTTCTTTTTTTTTTTTAAAGACAGGGTTTCACCGTGTTGGCCAGGATGGTCTCGAACTTCTGATCTCGTGATCCGCCCGCCTCGGCCTCCCAAAGTGCTGGGATTACAGCCAACCTTTCTACTTCTAAGAATTTATCCTATTGACCATTTTTGGTTTGGGTAAAAAAAGAAAAAAAAGAAAGAAATTACCCTGTAGCTATACTTGCACACACAAAATGACAGGCCCATAAGGTTCATTGTAATAGCAACCACTCGGAAACGACCAAAATGTTTAATAGAGAACTAGCCAAATAACTATTGTACATTCATAGAATTGAATATTATGCAACAGTAAAAAAGGGAAACTATTATGGAACACATTCTGAGATATGTTGCTAAGTTAAAAAAAAAAAAAACAGCAAAGAATGGAAGCCACATTTGCCCCATTTGTATAAAAAAAGACTGGAGACTATATATACCTATTTGTTTATATTTGCATGGGATATTTCTGACACAAAATGATGCCATGGTTGCCTCCAAGGAGAGAGAAACAGAGACAGAGTAGAGGGGAAAATGTTATACTCTGTGCCCTTTAATACTTCTATATTTTGAATCAGAAAAGCAAATTTATATATTTTTCCTCCTTTAGGAAATATATTCTTCCCTCTATCCTGCCTTTATGAGGAAATTGATACTCGAAAGTTCCCACCCCCTACTTCTGCCACCCCACCAACGCCTTGGATTTCTCTCTTTACTGAAGAGACCCAAGTTCCTGACACCTCATAGTGACTGTAAGCTACCAGTAAGACAAGTGGGAAGAGGCCCTTTCATCAAACCTGTTACTAAACCAGCCTACTCATAGCTCATCCCCTTCTCTAAATGTATCCACACATCCACATTTGCCTTTTCCACAAGCTTTTCACAAAGAAGGTGAGAGAGAAGGAAACCTTGGGAGGAGGACATTGCTGGTTGTTCTGGCTGGTTTGAAAAGCACAAATAAACTTGAGATTTGGTTCCTTGACATGTGTGATTATGTTGAGTTCCTTTTTGTAATGGTATCAATATGTCAGCTCTGGGCATTTTCACCACCTTCCAACAAAGTGGGGACAGCCCAAGAGAAAAGCCCAAAGAAAGGAGGAGACTTGTAATTGTCTTTCAGAGCGCTCTTCTCTGGAACCCAGGTCTGCTGTTTTCTTTCTTTGTCCTTTTCTTTTCTGATTTTATTTTATTTATTTTATTTTATTTTATTATTTTTTTATATTTTTTATTTTATTTTATTTTATTTTATTTTATTTATTTTGAGACAAGAGTCTTACTCTTGCTCTGTTGCCCAGGCTGGAGTGCAGTGGCGTGTTCTTGCTCACTGCAACCTCCACCTCCTGAGTTCAATCAATTCGCCTGCCTCAGCCTCCCGAGTAGCTAGGATTACAGGTGCCCACCACTACACGTGGCTTATTTTTGTTTTTTTGTTCGTTTGCTTGTTTGTTTGTTTTTGAGACGGAGTCTTGCTCTGTTCCAGGCTAGGGTGCAGTGGCATGATCTCGGCTTGCTGCAACTGCCCCCTCCCTGATTCAAGCAATTCTCCTGCCTCAGCCTCCCAGGTAGCTGGGATTACAGGTGCACACCACCATAGCTGGCTAATTTTTGTACTTTTAGTAGAGATGGGGTTTCACCATGTTAGTCAGGCTGGTCTTGAACTCCTGACCTCAAGTGATCCACCCGCCTCGGCCCCCTAAAGTGCTGAGATTATAGGGTGGCTGGACCACCATGCCTGGCCGATTTTTGTATTTTCATAGAGACAGGGTTTCACCATGTTGGCCCAGCTGGTCTCAAACTCCTGAGCTCAAGTGATCCACCCGCCTCAGCCTCCAAAAGTGTTGGGATTACAGGCATGAGCCACCTGTCACTCCTAGCCAGCTACATGTTTTTTTTTTTTTTTTTTTTGCTATGTGCTGTAGCTCTGAAATGAGGCAGAACCAGAAGCAAGGCCTTGGAGTCAGCACATTGAAGAGTTCCTCTTCAGGCCTTGGGTTACTTAACCCATGTGTCTTGCACTACAACACCTCCCAGGTAGGGGCTGAGGAAGTGCTCTGAAGAGGACTTAAGTATGGATACAGGGCTCCCTTTTTCTCTTTCCTGTTGCCTGTACCTAGCATTCAGGTTACCTGCACATTAAGAGGCGGCAAAACATAGTTATTAAGAGCATAACATCTACAACCAGACAGCCTGGGAACAAATCTCAGTTCCTTGTCTACTGTGCTCTCTAGAACAAGTTGTTTGACTTTTTATGCTTCAGTTTCCTAACCTTAGAAGGGATATACTCTATTCACTGTGTATAAGTGATTAGGAAGATTAAATGATTTAACATGTGTAATGGTACTTGGAACAATGCCCAGCACATAATAACTGCTCAATAAGGGTAGCTGATATTATTGCCTGACTCTACAGGAGAAATGTTGAAAGACAGGCAACTGAGCAGCTATAGAAATGCCTATTCAGGCCCAGGCATGGTGGCTCACACCTGTAATCCCAGCACTTTGGGAGGCCGAGGGGGGCAGATCACGAGGTCAGGAGTTTGAGACCAGCCTGACCAACGTGGTGAAACCCTGTCTCTACTCAAAGCACAAAAATTAGCCAGGCATGGTAACACACACCTGTAATTGCAGCTACTCGAGGGGCTGAGACAGGAGAATTGCTTGAACCTGGGAGGCAGAGGTTGTAGTGAGCTGAGATCACGCCACTGCACTCCAGCCTGGGCGACACAGTGAGACTGTCTCAAGAAAAAGAAAAAGAAATGACTGTTCAGAGAAGCTCTGGATTGGTGGTAGCCTTCCTCTCCTCTGTAATGACCATTTTGCAGCACTGGAGTAAGACATCCATCTTATATCACAAGAGAAAAACCAGGGAGCAAACAGAGATGTCAGTGGGCTCGAACTTTCTCAAAAAAAAAAAAAAAAAAAAAAAAATCTCATACCAACTATGCATTTCCAGATTATCTGACCCAGGAGTAAAAAGAAGGAAACTGTTTTGTGTATTACGAATAATTACATGGATGAAAAGAGGAAATTTTAGGTTTAGGAGGAAAAAAATCCAAGTGAGATAAGGGCAGTATAGAAGTGTCCATACATAACGTCCCCTCCGCTTCACACAGGGTGCTAAAGGAGAAGGAACCACTAGGTGGCAGCATATGAGCAGGTGAACCAAAGAGAACCAAATGCCTCTGGTTTTAGGAGCCTTTGCACCAATCCCATCCCACAGGTAAGGACAATGGCCATTATTCTAAACTGTTTTAACAGAGGGAGCAAACACAAACTCTTCTATATCCCTCCTCTGCCACCCACCTCTCTCCCACCTCCCCATCCTTCCCTGAAGACCCAGGGACCCAAATCGGAAAGGCTGGGTGGCTAAGAGGCCAGAATATCATCGTGCCACGGCTCTGTGGCTGAAAGACAACAGAAAAGGGGATACCAGAAAATAAAGAGCTGGAATGTAGGGCAGGATAAGAAGCTGAAAAAAAAGGTCTGCAGGGCGCGGTGGCTGACGCCTGTAATCCCAGCACTTTGGGAGGTCGAGGCAGGCGGATCACAAGGTCAGAAGTTTGTGACCAGCCTGGCCAACATGGTGAAACCCCATCTCTATTAAAAATACCCCAAAAATTAGCCAGGCGTGGTGGTGTGCGCCTGTAATCCCAGCTACGCAGGAGGCTGAGGCAGGAGAATCGCTTGAACCCGGGAGGCAGAGGTTTGCTGTGAGCCGAGATCGTGCCACTGCACAGAGTCTGGGCAACAGAGTGAGATTCTGTCTCAAAAAAAGAAGACCGGGCACGGTGGCTCACGCCTGTAATCCCAGCACTTTGGGAAGCCGAGGCGGGCGGATCACGAGGTCAAGAGATCGAGACCATCCAGGCCAACATGGTGAAACCCCGTCTCTACTAAAAAATACAAAAAAATAGCTGGGCGTGGTGGCGCGCACCTGTAGTTCCAGCTACTCAGGAGGCTGAGGCAGGAAAATTGCTTGAACCCCGGAGGCGGAGGTTGCAGTGAGCCAAGATAGTGCCACTGCACCCCAGCCTGGCCACAGAGTGAGACTCTGTCTCAAAAAAAAAGGAAAAAGAAAAGAAAAAGGTCAAGGTAACTTCACTCCCTGGTCTCTAAATCGTATGGCCATTGGCTTTCAGCATTAAAAAAAAAAAAAAAAAAAAAAATGTCCCTTCTATACCTGTAAACCAGAAGAAACAGCCACTTGCCAAACTACAAAGGCTTTTGGGTACCTCCATACACCCCACAGGAAGTATCACACTCAGATCTCTGGCTCTTCTGGCTGTGAAACTTAGCAGAAAAAGAAATCAGATTGGCACTAAAGTATAAAAACAAATGGCTTGATTGGAAATCTGGTCTGTAGCTGTTGTGGCTCTGACACTGTTATATGAAAAAAAAAAAAAAAGGTGGGGGTAGGGTGGCGTGGGTAGAGCATGTTTGATGGGTTGATGAGGCAATCTACAGGCGGAGGGACATTCTCTGCTAGGGGATAGTTTTAAAAGAGACTTTTGAAGTAGCAGATTCCTACAGTGTTGGAAACTAAACCTCACCCAGCAAAACTGCTCCCCACCCAATTGCCACAGTCTTAGCTGACAGCCTCAGATGGCAACAGGCTAATCAGATTACTGCTCCTCTGTTTGACTCTACTATCCAAATCCTCACCTCACTGCCTGCCACTAACAGGATAACTGGGGCATTAGATGACTTAACTAACCACATTATTTGCAGGATGGCTTCTTAATCACCACCAATTTTTCTGGCAAGTGAAATAGGGGAGAGGTGGAGATGAAAGGCTTTTTTCCTAATCCTAAATTTAAGAAGTAAATGTGAAAAAAAAAAAAAAAAAAAGAAGAAAGAAAAAAAGAAGTAAACATGGAATCATTTACACAGAATGTCCTGACACCCAGTCACTAATCTAACCTGGGACTGGCACAGTTTGGCCCGAATTGTCCAAGCTGGTATCTAAGAATACTAAATGCTCTGAAAGCAATCTTTCAGCTACATTTCATTAAACATACGTTTTTCTAGTGTGTTTTCCCTATCATCCACATAGCAAAATAGCATAGACATTGTTTTGCAATTACCTCAATATTGTCTCCATATGATGGCCTGGTATATCTCTTAGAAATCTGTATTTAATTAAAAACCAACTATATCTTTCTCGATAGTGAATAAAAAATGGGAAAGAGGTAAGAATTTCTATTAAGTCTTATTCCCTAAACTCAGGTTGATTTTGTTTTCAACTAGAGTAGCGTCAAAGATAGGGCTGACAAGGTGCCCTCCCTCCTGTTTGGGACAAATGTTTTATCTAAACAGAATATGTAAGGAGTTAATCTTGATCTCAAGTTGCCATTAATGTTTTTAAGAACTTTAGCTTCCCTAGTTGCACCATCTTATTTATAACCAGCTAGTATTTGCAAATAATGAAACTGAGGCTCGTAAAGGTTGTGACCGCTGGTTCAAAATCACACAAAAATCTGCCGTGGAAGAAGAAATAAAATGAAAACCCCTTGAAGTTCTCCATCAGCTGCTTTGCTTATTGCCTTACTCAAGTTCTATTGCAGTTAGACACCTCCAATGAGACATCTTTAAAATCCACATTTCACTCCAGTCCCTGGCATCACAATAAAGCAGTGGTGTCCGTGCAAAGCACAAGATAAAACACGTAGCTGGGGAGTAAGACCCCTGCCTTTAAGAACCAGCCTGAGAAAGCTGGAGTTGAAGAGAAGCAAGAAGAAAAAAAAGGAATAAAAGTATGCTCTCTCTCTTTTTTTTTTTTTTTTTTTGTGGTACCGTGACTCGGATCTCTCTCTTTTTTAATCTTAAGAACAAAATTCTCAGATGTCAGGGACAGTGGTGCTTTCATCTTTGGCAAAAAAAGAAAAGAAAAGACCTCCCCTCAGGTCTCCCACCGGGAGTGGCTCGGGAAGGATAAATCTCAAGTGACATTGATTTGTTAACTCCCAGAGCACCAGCAAAATCTGCAGGGCTGAGTTTAGAAAAAGCAGACCTCTACACAGAGGATTATCTCTGCGACACAGCCCAGTGAATCCAGCTTATTTTCTAGTTTGTGGATTATCATAGTCCCTTTGCTTCTTCCCTTCCCTACTGCCCAGCTATTTCATTTCCCACTAGAACTTACCGAGATTGGGTAGGGACTTTGAAATTTATAACTTAAAAGATTCTTTTTCAAGGGATTTGAATTAGTCTCCCTTTTTCCCTATAAAAAACTAACTGTTCAGAAAAATGCTGTTTTTCTCCTCTGTGTGAATTGATGACCATTCTTCGGGATTCAATTAATGATATATTTTAAGATTTAGCCCATGCTGCACAAAAATCTTTTACAAATATAATGGCCCCCAAAAATATTACCGTGTCAGAGGAAACTGAAGTACAATTAACAGTGATCATATCATTTATTCTCCAAAGGAGGACATTTATGAGAGTGAAAGGCAAGTTAATGATGATGCCAAGACCACAGGTATAAACTGAGAAGTGTGGTCATGCTAAAAATAAGGCAAAATGAGGTGCCCAGTCACCTGGGGAGTAGACGGTAGAGAAAGATGACCTGGCTTTCCTGGTATGAGGCTTGGCAGTGTCCCTTCTAATGAAGTCCTCTCCCCTGCAGGCCTGGTTTCTAGGAAGACGCTGCCAACAGGGCTTTCTTTTCCTGATGCCCAGGCATTCTGAGGGGTGTCTTTGGCATCAAGCCGCTTGTGGAGCTGGCCGGCTATCAGCAGCTGTGTGCATTCAGTTCCCTCGTGGGGTCCCATCACAGTCCGTCATCCCTCCACCTGGCAGAGTGCCACTGAAGGAAGCATTTTTGTGGCACTGGGCAATAGTATGCCACTTCCTTGCCTCCTGTGACAGAAGTATTCCAAGAAGCTTCTAGTGCTAGTCCTCAAAGAGGGCATCTGGTTCCACTGTAGACACTCTCAGCCTGATGGTGAGCAGCTGGTCAGCTTTTATCCTCCACATCCCATCATGGAACAGGAAACAGGCTACAGACATTTCCCTTTTCCACACCATCAGACTTGCCAGCATTGCTGTGCTGTGAGTCACCAAGGTAGCATACGCACACCACCAATCCCATGGACCTGTCATGAACATATTCCACCTCTGGACAAGCACACAGCATCTGCAGATTTAAGCTCATTTATTCAACATCTCCACGATTAGGGGACCAGAACTTGGAGCCGATTACTTCATTCTGTTAGTGCAAGGCTTCTCAACTTCAGCATTATTCACATTATAGGCCAGATAATTCTATGTTGTTGGGGGCATTATAAGATGTTCAGCCGCATCCCTGGCCTCTACCCACTAAATGCCAGTGGCCTCCCCCTCCCCTATCCCTGAGCTCTGACCACCGAAAATATTTCTAGGCACTAATATCCCCTGGGGGCAAAATCTCCCCTGGTTGAGAATCGCTGTCTGAGGGCATTTGGGGTGTGCTTAGTGCAAACCACAGAGAAACCGTCCTGCCTTCTAGAAGTTTGTGCTTGAGCCGCTGGATTATAGTAACAGAGATTACAGCTGGGTTAAGCAGATACAGCATTTAAATGCCACAAATCCTCCAGGGCTTAAAAACCCTTTGCTCTACCTTTAAGATCTGCTCACCTGTGCTGCTGCAGATTTGCACTATGATGTGTTGGAATGAGTAAGGCCATACTCACCAGTTCAGAGCTGCATTACAGTGTCTCTCTCATGTCTCAAGCCCTGCGGTTACTATCCCTTGTTTCCCTTTTCTGCGACAGAAATCTAAAAGAGGGCCGGGCGCGGTGGCTCAAGCCTGTAATCCCAGCACTTTGGGAGGCCGAGGCGGGTGGATCACGAGGTCAAGAGATCGAGACCATCCTGGTCAACATGGTGAAACCCCGTCTCTACTAAAAATACAAAAAAGTAGCTGGGCATGGTGGTGCGTGCCTGTAATCCCAGCTACTGAGGAGGCTGAGGCAGGAGAATTGCCTGAACCCAGGAGGCGGAGGTTGCGGTGAGCCGAGATCGCGCCATTGCACTCTAGCCTGGGTAACAAGAGTGAAACTCCGTCTCAAAAAAAAAAAAAAAAAAGAAATCTAAAAGAGGAGTGCTGAAACTCTCAATTAGGACCAAGTGAAATGCTGTGTACTTCAGATCAAGAAACACAGGCTCCTAGAAACACCATGCAGAAGGTAGCCACAGCTGAAAGGGTTCAGCTCTGGTTCCCTCCTCAGTGCACTGGTGGGGCTGGGGCCAGGTAACATGCTTTGCGTGTGTTGACTACAGTCCCCAGGCAGAAATGGGGAGATTCAGGACAGATTGCAATCTCTTGGCTGTGATTTTCCTGATCCTTTGTGTTCATTTAGGGGAAAGTTTTCTCATACAAAATGACTCCCAGGAGCTCTGTCCAGAACCAAAAAATAAAACAAAAATGCAACCAAAACCACTGCCTTCTCAGGAGGCCAAAATAGAAGTGAGGTCCAGTGCCATTGTTGTCTCTGCCAGCATAGGCCAGACAGGAGGACCATCGCTGGCCCT